TTTCTTTCTTTCTTTCTTTGAGGCACCTTCCCGAGTCAGGGTCCGAATCTCGTCCCGAGCCAGCACAAGAAAAGCAATGTTCGCAACCTCGGGACGAGATCCCATTGTCGCTGTTTCTTTTACTCTTGTGTGGTTTTGGATCATGATGTCAACAGACCCACTCCTGTTCCGCACCCCACAGTCTTTTCTGTGGGCCTCGCCCGGTCCAGTCCTGTCGGTCCAGTCCCGCGATGCCCCACCAGCGGCTCCGATGTGGGTCTTGTCCCGAACCACCACTTACACCAGAGTCCGGGAGAGGTCCATACATCACAACCAAACTGCCTTCGATTCTGGGGCTGGCCACCCATTGTATTTGATTGCATTACTATGACAAGAAGGACTCGCTACTGGGTGGCATACACCACATAAGCCTCGTATACGCATGTCCCAGATCTCTGACAAGTCGGGGACACAGTATTACCCCACAGCATGCATGAGTCTGGATCTCTCCCGTGTCATACCTCGGCTGTAAACAAACACATTGTCGCCGCCTCAGGACCCCAGAACCCTGCGAAAGACGATCCGGCCGTCGAAAAGGTGATACCAACAGCCGCAACGTCCCAAACTGGGTCAGGATCAGGGTAAACACCAGCCCTGCTCAGACAAACCACTGCGAACCCTGTTGATTATTGTTTTGAAAAATGATGATACAATACGGTGGCATCTAAGACACCAGCGCGGTACGTTTCTCTCTTCTTCTCACAATACTTTCGGGAACCGTACAAAAGACGCTGAGGGAGCAGTCAAGCTGCAACTAAGCTAGGGCATGGCTTTATATCTGCTGCGGGTATCCGAGTTAAAATGACCGTTTCGTCGATAAGTTCCCAGAATATCTAGATGCATGCCGCAGCCTCAGCTTCATCTTCATCCTGCAGAAACGGATCGTGACACCATGTCTCGGCACATATTAGCGTATCTGTCATACAACCTCTGCACGGCCATCAGCCTTCTCTCTCGGAGCTTGATCGACGTCACTTTCGCATTCTTCGACCGGCCTGGTTTTCAGGTAAAGAGAGTACTGATAATAAAAAGAAAAACGTCAAAAAGAGAAAGAAGAAAGAAACAACAAAATTTAACACCGGAAACAAGAAAATGAGAAAAGCCTGATAAAAAGAAGGTCTCCAGGTCACCAGAGTATATCTTAGTCGATAAACAACATGTCATTGCGCCTCCAACGGCGACCACCATCACTTTTCCTATATCCTTCATCTCTTATCATACATACACTTCAATGTTCTCACGGTCTACCCTTTCTCACACTTCCACTCGTGCCTTTCTCACATACTTCATCCACCCACCACCACCCAGAGCACCCAGCCCCGAAAAAGAAACATCCGACTCGACGCGTGGACGGTAGTCACACGGAGCAAGACAACCAACCGTTGAACTCCTCAGTTGATGACGACGCGTGTTTGAGACAAAATCCCCCCCAAAAAACTCCTCGCCCATCCTCAGATGTCTTCCCGATTCCGAACCCCGGCTCCCTGTCTGTTTGTTTGCGGTCATGGGACAGACGAACGGAAGTCCGGCGCATGACCGAAGGAAACTTTGACACTTGCCTCAATGGTAGAAGCCTCCCAGATGGAGCAAAATACAATGCTCCTTTGTTTATTTGGAAAGGAGGACGGCACCGGTCTTTTGGGAAGCAACACAACAGGATCAAAACACCCATAGACCTTCTCTCAACGTTTACTTGAATGCTGTGTAGTTGAGAGGAGTATCGTCTCCCTGCGGCTCTTTGCCCATGACAGGCAGCCCACCTCTTAAGTTTATCCACCCCTTGGCCAACGTAGTAACGCCATTTGTTACCTGGCCCGAGAGGAGTAACCTGTCGCTGTTCTCAGAGTTTCTTGACATCAAATGCTCTCTATTCCCACTCTTGATATACCTAGGTGATGTTGGAATACATTGATCTGTCAAAAGAAACAACAACAGAACGCAGTCGATCCCCCACCCGCCCAGGAGTAAAAGCTCCGAGCATTTACCAACATTTAAGGTAACTATAAGATAGACGAAAAGATTGAAGATAAGTATTAGCAGACGGGCTAAAAATTGCAACGGGCTAAGGATTTTGGCCGTCATTGAGAAAGCCCCTCACAAGATGGTAGCACTGTGTGTGCAGCCATGGAATTGGATCTCTCTGTCCAGGGTACAAGTGAAGTTCATCTCTTGCAACTGGTTTAATTAGCGAAAGTGAGCGGCTTCCTGTCACAGCCGGTAACTTCAGTCGGATCTTTACTTCATCGCGAGTTGAGCAATGATTTGAGACCTCTGGCGTCTCGTTTCATCGCCGAGGGATACACACCTATCCCAAATTAGGGCTGTACTGCCTCTCAGGCTGTCCCCGAGTGGCAGCAGACTACGCGTCTGCAAAATGCTATGTAGTCCAGCTCAGAGATCGCTCGTCCCAAAACCGTTGTCCTCCACGGAGATGCTCCCCCGAACCTAAAACACCCACCAGCCCTTGTCTGAGCGCCTCCCGAGCTTCCGCAGAAAAAGCAAGCTAAGTGACAAAAAGAACCAACCTCATCTTCCAAGCCCCTCTAAAGAGAAAAGCACCCACCCCTAACTCCCTCTGTCCCGCCCTCTCCGTTCACCGCCTATTCGCCATCCCTTCCCGCCCCTCGCCACTGACTCTCCCAGCGGATCTCCTTCCCTCCTCCCCACCACCCACTTCACCCCAATCCTTCCTCAACACCCACCACCCCGCCCGGACAACCTGCTCCATAACCCGATACATCACCGCCACAGGCACCGTAGCCACATACCACCCGCCGCCCGCCACCTGCCCAATAACGCCCCGCCGCTGCCGATCCGCGCGGCTCTTAACGGACACCAGCGCAGCAACATCACCCAAGCGCGCATCCAGCTGCCGGAACTGCGCGTCCACGCGGTGCTCCAGCGTGCGGGACTTGCGCTCGTAGCGGCGGACGGCGCGCGTGATGGCGTCGATTTGGGGGTGGACGGAGGTGAGCACTTCTTGCATGATATGCCGAGTAAGTTGTTGTTGCCGCTGCTGCTGCTGTGCCTGGTTATCCTCTGCACCAGATTCGCCGGTAAACGCGCGGGCCTCAACCTCCCCCACCCTCCTCATCAACTCCTCGTACTTCTCCGGTGTGACCTGCACCACACGCCCATACGGGTTCGCGTGGACGATCCGCTGCAGGTGCAGGGTCTGGGATAGGACGAGCTTGATGGAGTGGGAAAGCGGGCGGACCTCGGCGGCCAGAAGGAAGATGACCAGGTTGAAGCCCGAGACGAGCCCTTCGGTGCGCGGGGTGAGGATCTGGCGGACGAAGAAGAGGAGGCAAGCCGATGCTGCGGGAGCGAGGAAGCAGGCCAATAGGGCGAGCTGTTCGTGTTTTTGGAGGCGCCGCAGGGCAGCGGTGGCGAGGAGGGATTTTTCTTGCTGTTGTTGTTGGTGTCTGTCTCGGGATGGGCTGCGGGTGCGGGAGTCCGAGTCGCTTTCTGCGGGGCGGGGTGGGGGTGTGCTAGTTTCGATGGCGTCTTCTACTACTATTTCTTGGGTTTCTCGGATTTGCTGGGCTGAGTGGTACCATCTCCTGGGGCATGTGAATATGCGCTCTTCACAGCCATGAGGAGCAGGCTTACCATGGTGCCGTGACGGACCAATGTAGAAAGACGGCAACAAGGCCCAACAGGCAGAGGTCGCTAGTGAACGAAGCCCCGTTTTTGAAGAAGAGCCCTGCCAGCGGGGGTAGGATGGCAAAGGTAAAAGGCAGCCACGATTTCCACGAAGTAATAGGCCCGAGGTCGTCCCCATCAACCTCGGGCCTGGGGTCCATGATCTCATCCTGAAAGTCCCTGGTGGCGTCGCTTAGACTGTAATTTGAGAGTAGCGAACCTCGCCGACGCACACGGTTTTGGATGTCCTCAATCTGTGAGATGTACGGCTTCCCGTCAGAGCCAGTGGAGGTCCGACGATTGAGGGTGCTTCGACGAGACCTTGGTACAGGAGAGTCTGGGGCCACGCCGGTTGAAGTGCCAGCGGTTGGGCCAGTGGCCAGGGTCGTTACATGTCGTGACATATCTCAACGCACAGTCCCACGCCCCTATTCAGCATCAACAGGAGCTAGTCTTGGGGTGTTGAGATCTGGCTGTTGGCGGGAGTGAAGCAAACAATGGCTGTTGTGGAGTAGAGGCAGTGACGTAATTAAGTAATATCAAGGAAAAGGCCGAATTGAGTTGATGATGAGACAGGTTCTCATATATCCATTAGCTGGAGACAACAAATGTCAGAGAAGTTGCTTGTCATACTGGCCAGGAATGGGCATTCGAGAGACTGGAGTTCAAAATCTGGAATCTAAGAAGCCACCTCATTTGTCCAAAGTTGAAGGCAACCTCGATTACAATCGATGCTTCCCCGCCCTGCGAGGACCAGACATGATGCAACTCCCCTGTCCAACTTAGAAACAAGCTTTGCGGGGTGCATTGGTCCCCCCTAGCCGCCTCAACGCAGCCTTACCAGCAGCGGTATCCCAAATTCCACCCCATCCTCGAGCATTCCATTTCAGGAACTGTCCCTGCCTTGGGAGCATTGGGGCGGCGAGATCTGAGACCGATGACTATGAGGAAGAAAAGGGGCATGAGTTAATTCGAGGAGCTGGACAGATTATTCTCTCAACAAAACAAGAGGAAAAAAAGGGTATGGAAATTGCAGTTATGGCCATGGACGAGATCGAATTGTTGATGTTCGAAGATGATGCTGGACGTCACCAAGGGTGCTGAGAGTTAGGTCTTGGAAAGGCCACAACTAAAAAGAGCGCGGCGGTGTAAGCACTCTGTGGAGAGTTCGAAACGCAGAGTGGTAGGCTAAGGCAAAGTCTCAATGGCGTTGTTCGCCGTTGGGGTTCGACACAAGACAATCCCTCGTCGGAAACCCAAAAGGAGGCAAAAATTGTGAGCCATCACCATTCTGGATAGACAGAATGACAAAAGACTGGATGCACCCGGGATCGAACCGGGGACCTTTCACAAGGCGCATTTGGTGGATGCGAAGCGAAAATCATACCACTAGACCATGCACCCTTGGCATTGGATGTATAGAAGCGCCAAAGATTGATCTTATGAGAAAGCAATGCATAGCGCCAGCTGGCTGCCAGTTGCTGGCTGCATTATGCAAGGGCGATCTGGGGTCTCCTTCCAAGTGCATCCACATGCAGAGCAAGCATCCATCGCAATCAAGCTCGCGCCTGCATGCTGGCAAAATCAGAAAGTCAATTGACCCAATCATTCGCCGACGACAAACCCACCACGGCGCGTTTCTCATTCACACGCTCGCCTCCTCTGCCTGCCAGCCTGCAGCTTTTAACGGCTCCCTCGAAGCCCAGCCAAACAGATCTCGTCGTCTGCAGTTTGCAGTTCCCCAGCAATCTTGGAGTTGCGTGACGGGGTGGAGAGCGGCCATTGAGGTTGCCGCCAGCTGCGAACTGCGACCTTGAGCGAGTCGAGAGCGGTCGACTAGGACCCCTCGTTCAGGCAAAAGACCCGAGAGGGAAGAGGAACAGGACCGGCTTAATAACTAATAATTCTCTCGGAGGCCGTCTCGGCGGTCACCGCTGACCTGGTCTTCCCCACGGCTTCACCCACGGCAGCCGCTGCCCCCACGAGCCCCCTTGAGGTGCGCCTTGATGCAACCGTTACAGTCCCGGCGCCATCTGTAGCAAGCCCCGACTCAACCCTTCCGCCATCATCCCAGCAGCCCGCATATTCTACGCCTATCGCTCCCGTGCCAGTCACTGCTGGCTTGCCATCGCACAGCAACAACCTCTTGCGAAGGGGTCTCGGCGGAGCCCCGGACTCGTTCCTCCATTCGCCCTTCCGCACCCGCCGCGCCGCTGCGCAGCTCCCCCCGCGGCACCTTCCAGCGGCGCGTCTCTGGAACCCTACCAACTCGACCCCGAGAAATCTCGCGCCTCCGACAACAGGCCGGCCACGGCGCTTGTCCACCCCGCCTCCTCCGCCGGTACCACTTCCGAATCCTACGCTTGGCGTCACCAGCGACACTCCCGACCGCACCGGCACCGCTGCTGGCGAACACCCGCTCCTGACGCTCCCGGAACAACAGAAAGCACGCCCTTCGCTGTCGAGCAGAGCCAGTCTTCACCTCGATCGCTGCGCCGGAGCTGAGCAAAGCATCAGCCTGCCACCCTCTATCCGCCACTCCTACGACGATAAGCGGGCAAGCGCTACGCCCTCGCCGGCCGAGGACCCGGTAGCAGGCCCGTCTACCAGCCGACAATCCACCCACCTTGAGGTTCCCGAGGCTCGAACACTTAGGAGGGGCCCAAGCTTCACAAAGTTGCAGGGTCCGATCGGGCTCACCTTGAGACCTACATCGAGACACAAAGAGGACAAGGGCAAAGGAAAGGCGGTCATGGCACCACCAGAAGATGGCCGGGACCGGTTTTCCCCCGACCTAGAACGGGGGCCTGATATCTTGAACCGTCGCCATTCGACGGCGTCTGGGATATCGGGCATTGGGTCAGCCATCTCGTCAAGCGATTCGTCCATCATGGGCGACCCGGACCAACCGCCAGATAATGGAGAAGAATGGGGTCCGCAACACCCGTGCTTCCCGCATCTAAACCCTCATGTCCCAATCGACTCATCAGATTTTGTTAACACACGCATCATCAGGGTACGCCGGGACTGGCTCCTCCAAGGTGACCTTGCCCCAACATTTTCCAACCTTTATCCGGATATCTTGGATCCAGCCGGGGTTTCGGAGCATGAATTTCGCCGCGTCGTCGACAAGCTGAACAAGGAGCTAGTGCCCATCTTCAGCCCGTACGCCTGGAGGAACATCCTGGACAACATGCTGGGTCTGGCGACCGGCTGGCTCTGGGATGACCTCGGCTTCACGGCGGCCAAGACCCGTCTCCGGAAGCTCGACAGGTGGATCGAGCAGTGGAACAACGAGATGGAGAGGACGTTTTCAGACGAAGGCGCCATTCCGCCTAAGATTATACCCCTGAGGCAGACAGGGTATATGACTGTGTGTTTCCTCCTAAGATGTCTTTGTCGTTGCCTTTGCTGACTCGTATAGCTTGACATACAAATTCCCGACCCAGAGCTCGCACCAGCATCGCCCACAACGCCAAGTTCTTCCCACGGCGGGCTGGATGTGGACTCTTTACCAACTGAACCACATGCCGCGATTACTGCATAGGGACCGGAGAGCGGCTAAATTTTCCTTTGTTTGCGTTTTTGTTCTCGTATACCCTTAATCGGTCTGGTTGTATGACTGATGATTCCCATGCACATCACATACCCCATACTTACTGTTCAGAGCTACTGTTTGAGTTTGGCGGCTTGTTTATTTTGACGCTGTTATCACTATACCATGGCATGATATGGCGTTGCCGGTTTTAGTCTGATGTTTTCACAGGCCGTTAGAGGAGATTCTATCTGACAGAAGGTCGATAGATTACAAATAAAAAAAAGTGTGTGCCACTTTCACATTCCACCGCTGTCCTCCCTCTCACTTCCATCCCATTGTTACCCCTGCCTCTCCTCCACAAGCATTGTCCTCCCGTCGGCAATGCAAGCAAGCCTTCCTTGCATCATGCTATGCACATGGCGAACCCGCCCATCCGAACCGTCATCCCGTCCCATTCCCACGGGACACCTACCAATCCACATGGCCCCACCATCACACCCCCCTTTTGTCCCACCTCTGAGGAATGACTCACACAGCAGATTTTGATAATGCCCACATTCTGCTTTGGTCTGTAACAAGCAACATATAGCTGCATGGCGCAGCGGAAGCGCGCCGGGCTCATAACCCGGAGGTCACTCGATCGAAACGAGTTGCAGCTAGAGTTCATATCTCTTTTTTCATTTTTTTTTGTCTCCTGCTTTGGGCCCTAAGGGTTAGGGCTCTGTATGATCAAAGTTGATTTTGGGATCCTATTTTTCTCCTTATCTTTGCGTGACCTGTTGAACGGATATTGGAGAGGGCATACTGCAGAGGGCGAGGATTGATGTTTTCATTATCAATAACTATAGGCAAAATGGTTTCTGTTTTGACTCTCAACCCTCCTCTCCTGTTCGGAACACACACGCACAACGCCGACTCCCGACAGCAAAGATACCAACAAAGGATATTATTCTCTTTCCTTCTAATCGGTCTCCTGGGGTTATCGATACTGCAACCCAGTTTTATGCTCATCCCCTCCTCCTCCCAACAGACGCATCAGTGGATATCAAGAACCTATCTCCAATCCAAGAGAAAAACCACAACACTCGCAAATAGACTGCCCGCTTACTCCCACCACTACCTCCCATCATCGCCCCCCTCCTCACCTCCATCACACCCTCTTCCCCTCTAATTCGGCAAAACCCCTACCCTCATATTCCCCGGTGTCCCTTTCTTCGCCCACTCCCTCAGCACATTCTTCTGGATCTTGCCCGTGCTGGTCTTGGGCAGTTCCCTCACGATCTCCACCTCGCGCGGGACCATGAACTTGCTGATGTTGCTCTGGTGCTTGGCCCAGTCGATAAACGCCTCGGCGGTGACCTGGCCCTCCTTGCCTTCCTTAACAGTCATGTATGCCTTGGGCCGCTCGCCCCAGTGGGAGTCGGGGACCGCGACGACGCCGGCCTCGAGCACGTCCGGGTGCTCGACCAGCATCGACTCGAGGGCGACGGAGGAGATGTTTTCGCCGCCTGGAGGGAGAAGGTTAGTATTCTGAATGGGGGGTGTGGGAGGGTAAAGGGGCTTACCAGAAATGATGATATCCTTCGCGCGATCCTGGATCTGAATACTCCCATCAGGATGCCACACGGCCAAATCCCCCGAGTGCAGCACACCCCCCTCAAACAGCGCGCGCGTGGCCTCGCGGTCCTTGTAGTACTCCCTGGCGCAAATATTCCCCGCAAACACAATCTCGCCAATCTCCTTCCCATCCTTGGCCACATCCACAATCACACCATTAGGTTGATTCGTCTTGATAATCCTCACCGGCAGACTCGTCAAGAACCCATGCCCCTGCCGCGCCATGTTGGCATACCGCTGCCCCGCGGGCAGCGCCTCCCACTCGGGGAGGATGTAACCCCGCGTAATGGGGCCATACGTCTCAGTCATGCCATAGACGTGGACAGGCATCAGGTTGAGGTCAGACATCTGCTCAAAGAGGTGGGCGGTGGGTGGGGAGGCCGCGACGGTGACGCGGACGGGGCGGGGGAGCTTGACGGCGTCCTTGTGAGCGCAGAGGAGGGTGTTGACTGTGGGGGCGGCGTTGAAGTGGGTTACGCCCTCGTCCTTGAGCAGGCCCCAGATCATGCCGTAGTCAATCTTGCGCAGGCAGACATGGGTGCCGCGCACGGCGCAGATGGCCCAGGGGAAGGTCCAGCCGACGGCGTGGAACATTGGGAGTGTCCAGAGATACTTGCAGCGGGCGTCGGGGAGATTGAGGCCGGACTCGACTACGTTGGCGATGGCGGCGAGGTACGCGCCGCGGTGCGTGTAGACGACGCCCTTGGGCTTGGAGGTGGTGCCCGAGGTGAAGGGGATCGCGAGGGTGTCGTCCTCGTTGGCGACGGTTTGCGACTGCAGCGCCGACCACCCTTTGTTGCCGGTCGCCTTGTCGTAGTTGAGGCCTTCGAGCACGGCGTCGTCGAACGGCCCGCACATCTCGCCCTCGGTGGCGTCCGTGTCCTGCGGTAAGTCAGCGGCATATCCCCTTCATCCCAGAGAATGAAACCTACCAAATCAACAATCACCGGCACATTCTTATTCCCCCTTCGTATACCCCTCCAAAAGCCCCTCATATTCCTTATCCACAATCACCACATCCACCTCCGCAAACTCAAAGATATATGTAATATCCTCCTGCTTCAGCCTATAGTTTACAGGCACAATCACACCTCCCGCCGCCACGATCCCAAAAATACTCTCCAGGAAAGCCGGCGTATTCGGCGCCAAAACACCCACCCTCTTAAACCCGTTCTTGCGCAGGTAGTAAGCCAGGCCGCGGGCGCGATCGGCCAGCTCCATGTAGGAGCGGCGCAGCACGCGGCCGTTG